CCCCCCAACCCTACATTGGATAAAGACTATTAAATGGAGTGTGGCTCTTCAATTCGCAATCCAGCAATTTGACACCACAAACCAAGGAGAGGATGGAAATCCTCTGGAATGTAGAAGCTGCCTGTCCCGGAAGTTGGATCACCCATCCCGACTCTTTCACATCCCAATTGGCCAATAGGACAAACCTTGCGGTTAATCTTTATCATTTCGTACACCTCTTCTGACCTTTAATTGACGTTTTTCTTTATCGGGATCCATTTATACGCTCGTACAATAGACAAAAGAGATCATAATATCAAAAAGATACAAAGAAATCAGCGGAAATGGGGGAAACTCACATGCTGTCGTCAGGGGAAAGGCTATCGGCGAAGAAGGAGCCGCTCTGATTTTCCATTTCAGCAAGTCTGGAAGGAAAGCAAAGGAAACGTTGTGTCACTGTAATACCAAACATGCCCAGGTCCTACTGGGCTGAGACATCAGTCAAAGTGCAGAGTGTCATTGCTTCATGGCTAAAGAGGCCCTGTCACCAACTTAAAAAAAGCCAGTAAGCGCTAACAAATGTAAGCATTTGACATGGTTCCTTTCCATAAACTATTCGTTCACTTGCTATGTACCGTTGAACACTTGCTGGAAATTCAGACCGGTTGATTCCTTAGCACAGCCTCCTCTGTCTTTGCACGTCATAGTCCTCTCCTCTTGGCAGTGCTAGGCCAGTTCCTTCGTACGGTGCACTCGGATTCCATCCATTCCCCCCACCTGACTAACCCTGATAAGGCATATCCGACCACTATGCCACTATTGTGCCGGTAGGATATGGTATCATGCAAGGAAGAAACTTGGGTAATGCACGTTTCAGTTACACTTTTATTAAAACCAATGAATAAAACTAGGGATGCACCGATACCAAGTACAGTGCTCGGTACAAGTACAGATACATTTCCAGGACTAGACTAGAGAAACATTCAAAAGTTAGGAGGCCGCAGTCATTTGTAAGGAGCACGCGGAGCTCCCAGGATTTGTACATCTCTGTATAATGTACGATTTTGTTTTTATAGATATATATAAGTGATGCACAGATACCAGTTTTGCGAGTACGAGTACTGATACATTTTTGTTTATTGTCATGTGACAGCTTTTCTAAAACAATACAGACTAATGATTTCAGGACAGTGGTGGAGTGCCAGAGCCCCGTCCCAGCTGCGACCGCTGCAACCCTGGTAGTTCTCATGAAAAGGCCAAGTATCGGCACTGATATCTGAACTGGTATCGGTGCATCCCTAAATAAAATCATAACAAAAATAAGAATTACATAGTTACATAGCTAGTCAGGTTAAAAAAGACACAAGTCCGTCAAGTTCAACCTATAGAGATACTCCAACTTATAGAGATCCTCCAACCTATAGAGATAAGTCCAACCTATAGAGATACTCCAACCTACAGAGATACTCCAACCAATAGAGATAGAGATTAGGAATGTCATCAGCCCGTGTAAGGTGCAGCACCTGAGGTCAGGGACCCAGGACTCTGTCCTACGAGTTTCATCCAATTGGACTTAAAGGCAAGCTTCATGTTTCTCCACACACTCTGATTCCCTTACCAACCTCAACAATGGCACAGTGAAAGAGCATCGTGACTACCATCTTCCCGGACCTGGGGACTACTACCCCACAAAGCTCATACTGGCCTCTTTCCAATTTTCAATCCCGGTGAGCTGCAGCTTATTCCATTCAAGATGGAGGCCACGTCTTGACCTTATCGCGCTTGTTATACTTCACATGCTTCGAAGTCTGGCAAGTCCAAACTATACCTCTAGTACACCGATTCATTTCTGTGTATCGTCGTGTAAGTCATAAGCCCTCCTGGGCTCTCGTATACACTAAACCAACCCCCACAAGAACTCTACAGACATTGTTCGAGAGACTGATACAGACCTGCTAGCAAAGTGTTCTATCCTTGAGTGTGTATCAGCATGTGGAAGCATTGGAGAGGACAAGGACCTGCCAGAAATGAATGGGACAGTTAGTACATTACATGAAAAAACATCAAGCTAACATCTACAGTAAATTGCAACCGTTGTAGATGGTCACAATGGTGATTGGTGGCCATGGTGAACAGTGGGCATTGTCTTAAAGGAGAACTTTGGGGTCAGGGCTTTTCCCCATAGTTCTCCTAAGGGTAACGGGAGGACACAAACTAGCGTCCTCCCGTCACCCAAAGCTCAGTATATAGGGAGCATCAGCTCGCGGTATACCGAGACCGCCGCAGCAGGGACCTATCCAGACATTACTGTCTGGATCCACCCAGCTACGTGAGTGACAGCTGGCTCTGCCTATCTAGAGGCAGAGCCAGCTGTACCCGCCCCCTCCCCTGTCCGTTCCGCCAGTCAGCGCTGGAGGATCGGACAGGGGAGGGGAGGGGGAAGCCCTCAGGGAGCCGTGAGTGACAGTCACGGCTCTCTGCAGGGACAGGATCGAGAAGTGAGCGAGCGACGGTATGTGTTTGCTCACTTCCCGATCTATTGAGCCGACCTGTGACAGTTTCATTGTCACACGTCGGCTCGAACTATGAGGAGGAGTGATTTTCACTCGCCTCATAGTTCTCCTTTAAAGCTAAAAGTTAATCTGTTAATATTTTGCCCTCCCTGGTTCCTCTTCTCCCCTCCCCCCACTAAGCTTTGCCTTTTAATTACATATCTTATTTTAGTCCTAGTAATGTCATCACCGGGTCTTTGGAGGCAGATCATAGCTGGGGGGAAGGGCCACAGTACCCCGCCTCAGTACTTCTCTAAAGAGCGCCCAGCCCTGATGAAAGCAGTGGGCTGGCTCTTGGGAGGAGTTATGCAAATATTAAAATGCCTCCATGGGTGGGTGTCAGTCTGTAGGAGAGGGCTTCCTCAGGTAATGCTCATGTGTGATGCTGAGCCTCCATAATTGTCCCCCCCCCCAAAAAAAGGTAGTGACACAGGAACAGTCCAAGCAGGGGGGCTTGTCCTGCATTTTTCTTCAGCAAGGCAGGACACGCACACAGTTCAATGCAGGAGGGCTTTGTAAAGCCGGTCCATAGCATACAGCAAAAATAAATCGGCTCATATGAGCCACTGACCAAACTAACCAAACTCTAGGTAGCTCTTGACTTACAAGGATCCCCTTAATGGGTTCCCCAAAACAAACGGGCAGCACTTATACCTTTTTAGTGTTCTGTCAGCACTCAGCCTTTTCACCTAGCCGCAGAGAGAGAGAGAGACCCGAGCATCAGTCAGCTCACATATATAAATGCCTGTGGACAGCTGAGACTAATAAGGAGGTCCGGCCACCAGGTAAGATATGGACCTAGGAATGGAGACTTTATCTTACCTAGAGATCTACAAAGTCATTCTGCTCCAGAACCAGAACAGGACTTAAGAGCTGAGCAGCACCATCCCTATTATGAGGCAGCCTGAAGCTGTTGCCTTGGGCAGCAGCTCTATTGGTCTTGTGGGGGGAGTGGCAGGCACAGGGACATGGCCAATCTGCTGCACAATGTTTTGCAGAGTGCTCGCCGCCCCCTTTCTGGCCACAGTGTACCAGGTTGCTAAGGCTGGGTTCACACCGGGGCGTTCGTAATATGCACGGTTTTTACCGCGATGTGCGGTCCATGTAATGCGCGTTTACGAAATCTATAAGGCTGGGTCCAATGGATACGCGCTGAAATCCGCCCCAAACAAGCTCAAGTACTATTTCGGCCATAGGGCGTTTTTCAGCACGACAAAGCGCTCTGAAATACGCCCAGGTGGGGACCATGCCCATAGCAATTAATAGGATTTCATTTCTTGAGCGTTTCTCAGCGCTTCGATCGGCGCTGCCCAGGTGTGAACCCAGCCTAAGAGACAGGTGGGGAGATGTGTAAAGGCCATACACATCTCCCCCCCGCCCAACTCTTAGCAACCGAGGATGCTCTGGCTGACGTCGCGACATCACTGGTTGCTAGGAGCTGAGCAGGATGCTGGGCGGGAGATGATGCAGAGGCCACACCTCCAAGCCTTTCTGCCAACTCCATCCCTTCCCAGTAAGCATGCAGTCGGTAACCCCGGAACCCCGCGCCATCTGCAGGCGAGAAACCTAGGTGACCCCCATACACCGTCCACAATCCTGCCAGCCAGTCCCTCACCATAGATACATAGCAAACCATATCGTCCATGTCCCTTACGTGTCGGCTTCATTGACTTCCGCCTCGAGCATCGACTGCACAGGGAGGTAGCCCCGCAGCGGATGGCGACTGAAATACTGACGCGTCCTGAATTTATTTTTGAGGGTGGTAGCAAAATCCCTCATCTTCTCCCCCGAGGTTGTCTGCAAAAAAACGTAATGCTGTCATAGTAACAGATGGAAAGATATCATCGATGGGCAAGAGATGAACGTCGCAGGGTTAGTTTACTGGCCCGGAACAAACATGCATCCGATGAAGTCTACATACTTGCTCCCAGGGCCGGATTTACTCTCCCTGCTGCCCCAAGACCAGGTTCCACAATGCGCACCCACACTACATGTAGTCCCGCCTTCCCAAAGCAGGACTAAATGTAGAAAGCGTAACATACCGCCCGGCGCCCAGAACTCTATGTTCCGGGCGTCAGGGGATTCCACCCCACTGCCGCCCCTCTGCTCACTGCCGCCCCCCGAATCCGGGCCTGCTTGCTCCAGGTCAATGACGTGGAAGTCAGGATTGAATTTATAACCACGGAATACCGTTGTGTAATATTCCATGATCGGATAATGAAGCTTGCTTCCTTTGCTCGCTTGTCCGGTAAGGAAACAGGTCTGGCAGATGTCCACGCCGAATTGTTTCAGGCTGCGGTACCTGGGAAAAGAAAAGGTAAACGGATTGAAAACAAGTTGATGTCGGTCTCTAGAGTCTGAATGTGAAGATCTAAGGAGGACAGTTTACTGTACAGCACGGGTCAGGTGCACGACTTTGCCCAATCAGGGCCCAGTACTCTGCAAGAGCCGTGTTTGGGAAAAGTCATGATGACTCTGCCCAATCATGGGTCACCTGCCAGATGCCGTACAACTGTAAATAGTTGGGCGGAGCTAGCTGTCACCGCTCGCTCCGCCCAATTGTTTATATGCTGCCAAATTCTGTCAAAATGCCGTTCTGTGGCGGGAGTTCATCGCGAGCGGACGGACGGCGGGCGTTGTGTTTTAAAAAAAAATATTTTTTCTATTTATTGTTTTCATTTTTAATTTTGTCGAGTCGTCGTCGTGGACAACGCTGGACGTCGTGATTGACGCTGGATTACGTCTGTGGATCCATTTTTTTAATATTCAAATAGACCTGCCAAAAACGTGTCTTTTGGTTTTTTTTTTTAATTAAAGGATTTTTACAATTTGATTGAACCCTTTAGTCAATGAGTAGGGGTACAAGTACAGCTTTTTGCTGCTCCATTGGGAGGGTTTGTTTCAAAAACGTTCCTTTAAAGGAGAACTATGGGGTCAGGACTTTTCCCCCTAGTTCTCCTTAGGTTAACGGGAGGACACAAACTAGCGAAGTATCAGCACAATCTCCGAATGATCATTTCAGTCATATTCCGAACTATTCCTCGGCTTTAGTTACACTTTCGTAGATGTAATATGTTGTACAGATGTGTTGGGTTTTCAGGGATTACATATCTTCTGTAACAAGCATTGCGCTGTGCGTTGTCCTTGGCAGACATATGTCCCTTTGTGTTATGAATGCGCCTTCCTTTCCCTCCTCATAATAGGAAAAGCGCTTCTATTTTCTGCTTCATTGTTTGCACTGAATGAACCTTTTAAGATGAAATCAGCATGTTGTTTTAACCTTTTCCATTCCTCTGACAAGCGTACACTATTCCGTCTCACGTTGTGTGGTCACATGACAGCAAACTCCATTGTCCGTTATGTCAGTTATTTTATGCCTTGTATTTACACTTTTCTGTGCTGCTGCAAAGATCTTCATCTTCTGAAAGCATGTCATCTTTTTGTTGTTGTTGTTGTGTTCTTCTGTTTGCCATTTAGAAACAACCAGCCCCGCATACAATCAACTGCCTAGTGAAAGAACCAGCCTGAGATATAGGCAACTGCCTGATGAAAGAACCAGCCTGAGATATAGGCAACTGTCTGGTGAAAGAACCAGTCCCAGATATAGTCAACTGCCTGATGAAAGAACCAGCCCCAGATATAGTCAACTGTCTGGTGAAAGAACCAGCTCCAGATATAGTGAACTGCCTGATGAAAGAACCAGCCTGAGATATAGGCAACTGTCTGGTGAAAGAACCAGCCCCAGATATAGTCAACTGCCTGATGTAAGAACCAGCCTGAGATATAGGCAACTGTCTGGTGAAAGAACCAGCCCCAGATATAGTCAACTGTCTGGTGAAAGAACCAGCTCCAGATATAGTCAACTGCCTGATGAAAGAACCAGCCTGAGATATAGGCAACTGTCTGGTGAAAGAACCAGCCCCAGATATAGTCAACTGCCTGATGAAAGAACCAGCCTGAGATATAGTCAACTGCCTGATGAAGTAACCAGCCCCAGATATAGTCAACTGTCTGATGAAAGAACCAACACCAGATATAGTCAACTGCCAGATGAAAGAACCAACTCCATATATAGTCAACTGCCTGATGAAAGAACCAACTCCATATATAGTCAACTGCCTGATGAAAGAACCAGCCCCATATATAGGGTACTGCCTGATGAAACAACCAACTCCATATATAGTCAACTGTCTGATGAAAGAACCAGCTCCAGATATAGTCAACTGCCTAATGAAAGAACCAACTCCATATATAGTCAACTGCCTGATGAAACAACCAACTCCATATATAGTCAACTGCCTGATGAAAGAACCAGCCCCAGATATAGTCAACTGCCTGATGAAACAACCAACTCCATATATAGTCAACTGCCTGGTGAAAGAACCAGCCCCAGATATAGTCAACTGCCTGGTGAAAGAACCAGCCCCAGATATAGTCAACTGCTTGATGAAAGAACCAGCTCCAGATATAGTCAACTGCTTGATGAAAGAACCAGCCCCAGATATAGTCAACTGCCTGATGAAAGAACCAGCCCGTGTTTTGGTCAACTGCCTGATCAAAGAACTAGCCCCAGATATAGTCAGCTGTCTGATGAAAGAACCAGCCCCAGATATAGTCAACTGTCTGATGAAAGTATCGCAGAACATATTGCTAAAAAGTGAGACAGTTGGTGGACTGGATGGACCAGGAACCTTTAGCAACCAGTTGGCTAGTGTAGGGAATGACGGTTGACTCCTGCAAAGCAAACTGCTAAAAAAGCAGTTTAGGAGTTCTGTGTCTTCTCTGAAAAAAATCTGGGAGAAGAAATGAGGATTTGGGTGAACATTTATAGAGTAGTACATCAGTGGTTCAGTATCGTAGGAGCAATAGATGGAGAAGTTAAGTTGTCATGTTTCATTTCTGTAGAGGTTGCTAGAACTCCTTTGAGTGTCTGCAACCTGAAATGGAGCTTGTAGAGAATGCATCTGTCTCCATGCAGACCTTCAGGTCTGCTCTCTGGTTGCATTTGATTCTTATGATTGTCCGGGACTCAGAAGAGATCTGGTGTTGGTGAGTTGCTGGGTGTAGGTTGTAGGACTCCGAAAATAATATGGTGCAGAAGCACCCAGAAGGAACAGATGTTAAAGAAGATCATCTAATGGACACAATGTCAGGTAGGTACCATCAGAAACAGGCTTTATGGGTAACGATATATCTATATCAGTGTATCAAGTGGTTTCTATGGTTTTTATGGCACAATGGGTGTTTATGGTGGTAGAATTTAGTGCTATATGTAAATTATTATTTTTTTTGTAGGACTTTTTTAGAATTATTATAAATTATTTTTTACTAATACATTTTTAATGTTCCGGAGGACAGTGATCTGCCTTTGTATCCTACCTAAAAAATTTTGTTATTTGGCTGCAACATTTGTGTCAATTAACCTTGAGCCTGGCATAGCTTAAATCTGAATGACATCCAAAATCCAACATCTAGTTAGAATTGTTTTTGATTGCCTGTCCGCGGACGTCACACTTCACCCAGCATGGTTCATGGTGGGGGTGGTATCTTGTGGGCGAAAAGCGTACCACACACATGGCGCTGATTGGTGGTCATAGTAACTGTAATGGATTGTAATGGATAAATGGCAAAAGATGAAGTACATTATGATCTACTCAAGATGACTGCAGCTCGGGGAAATGATATGAACTGACCTAAATAAAATACAAAAAAGTGTTGGCATGCCAACAAGTAAGAGGGAGGACGGGTGCATTGAAGTCTTGAAAAAGCAACTTGCTTCATCTTTGGAGGCTAAAAATACATTATATGGGCAAAAGTTTGTGGACACCTGACTATCATACCTATATGAGCTTGTTGGGGGTTTTACTCCAAAACCACGTGCATTAAAATTAAGTTGCCCCTCGTGTAGCTATGGCAGCCGCCACTCTTCAGAGTAAACTAAAGTAATCAGAATTCCAATGAGTCCTCCAAAAGGTGATCAGTAGGGTTGAGGTCAGGGCTCTGTGAAGGCCACTTGAGTTCCTCAACAACAAAGTGGTCAAACCATGTCTTTATGGAGCTGGCTTTGTATGTATGGAGATTCTGGAGGGTGCGTGTGGGAATTTGTACCCCGTTGATGTTGGATGAGAAGACCTGGCTTACAATTGTCATTCCAAAGGTGATCAGTAGGGTTGAGGTCAGGGCTCTGTGAAGGCCACTGGAGTTCCTCAACACCAAACTGGTCAAACCATGTCTTTATGGAGCTGGCTTTGTTTGTATGGAGATTCTAGAGGGTGTGTGTGGCATTTTGTACCCACTTGATGTTGGATGAGAAGACCTGGCTTACAATTGTCATTCCAAAGGTGATCAGTAGGGTTAAGGTCAGGGCTCTGTGAAGGCCACTCGAGTTCCTCAACACCTAACTGGTCAAACCATGTCTTTATGGAGCTGACTTTGTATGTATGGAGATTCTGGAGGGTGCACATGGGAATATGTACCCGTTTGTGAGGTCAGGTACTGATGTTGGATGAGAAGACCTGGCTCACCATCAACCTTCCAATTCATCCCAAAGGTGATTAGTAGGCTTGAGGTCAGGGCTCTGTACAGGCCACTTGAGTTCCTCTACACCAAGCTGGTCAAACCATGCCCTTATGGAGCTGGATTTGTGCACAAACTGTTGCCAAAAGGTTGGAGACACACAATTGTCCAAAACATCTTTGTATGCTGTAGAATTAAGAGAACCTTTCATTGGAAGGACTTGGACCACTTGGAGGGGATACTTTTGCCCCTATAGTATAAAACGTCTCCTATCCCTTGTTAGCATTGAAACTTTCCTTCATGTAACTGATACTTCAAATGCAATAGAATAAGATGATTAGCACTCATGTGACTTTGAACTGTATAAGCATTTGTACCTAAAATGTTACTTAACCTTATAAGAAATTACATTACATTCGAAACACATACCTACCTAAAACCCTTTATAGGACACTGTTTGCAGACTGAACACTTCGTCTGGTGCTTAACTGCCTCAGCCAACGTCACACGATGTAAAACTGGAAGCCAAACCAATGACTGTGGCTCTAGACATCCCCACTCCAGGAACTGGGGTAACTCCAATATGGTTGCACCACCGGTCTATCAAATAAAAACAAAACAAAACACAAATAGATTCTTCTTTCTGCACTGTAGGCCGGAGTATGTGGAATATGCAAAGTGATAACTATTACAATGTATTAGCTGATCAAGCAAATGAAACTGTATTGTGAGTGTGGCCATCACATACCGATTCAACCTTTGCCAAATGGTCATCCATCTTTTACCATGGCAACAGCACAGTTTTCTTTATCACTATGGTAACAGAGCAGATCACTCCGTCACTATAACCAAGGGACTATTAACAACCCCTTTTGTCACTGTCATATAGAGGCTGATTCCTCCATCACAATGGCAACAGGGAAAATTCCTCCATCACTATAGCTATTCTTTAGATCCCTCCACCGCCATAGCAATTGTGCAGATCCCTCCATCCCCATAGCAATTGTGCAGATCCTTCCTCCACTATAGCAATTGTGCAGATCCCTCCACCACCATAGCAATTGTGCAGATCCCTCCATCCCCATAGCAATTGTGCAGATCCTTCCACCACCATAGCAATTGTGCAGATCCTTCCACCACCATAGCAATTGTGCAGATCCCTCCTCCACCATAGCAATTCTGCAGATCCCTCCACCACCATAGCAATTCTGCAGATCCCTCCATCACCAAGGCAATACTATAGATCTTTTCACCACCATGGCAATTGTGTAGATGCCTCCACTGCCAGTATCCACATCAGTGCGTCCCCCATAATCTTCCCACACTATTAATGCTAGCCCCTTCCGCAGCTCCCGAAACTATTTACAGGAGCTTCTCACACAGGTCTCGCCCTGCTGTCCACACAATGTTGTGTGGCAGCTCCCCTCACACAGTCCCTTTTTTCCACAGCATGTCTGCACCTGTCCACAAACTTCCTCAATGCGGTAGTTTCTGTGGTATGCTGTCTCTGAGCAATGTCCACAATGGCTGCCTCAGCATGTAGAGCACTACGTCATCTCCTCTGCCTCCCCGGCCCATTCTCGCCTTCCATTCTAAATATTGTATTAAAAAGGTCCACAATCACAGTATGCTACTGTGCTGCTTTGTCTCCCCCTTCCCCTCTTGCTGTGCATCTCTATGCCCCTCTGGTCCACAATCAGTTGCCCCCAGACTTTGATCATCTCATGCCTTGCCCCCCCACCCCCCGCCCTTTCCTTTTTACCCAGGCACATAGTTAATTATGCACTCGGTCCCAATTGTTCCTGTTCAGCTGTCCTTCCTTTTATCACCTCCAACTCCAGCTTCCACTTTGCCTTTTATACCCCCCTTGGCCACTTTAAAGTCGCAGTTCTGTTTCCTTTATCTACCCCTTTCCCCAATCCAAGATAAAAAACGGTTTTGCTATATATACACTTTAAGGCAATATAGGTTTTCACCAGAGGTTGCTTGGGGTCTCTTGAGCTGTAGTTAATTGACCTCCCATCTGATGGTGTCTACATAGTTCAGGGGCCAATGCCACTTTGTAGAGCCAGCTGCAGGACACCAATGATCTGTTTAGCTGTCTGTAAGGGTGGCATTCTGACTACCATTGTAAGAGGGGTATTCTTAGCACTGACCACCAATGTAAGGAGCATTCATCTCACTGACCACCAATGTAAGGATCATTCTTCTCACTGACCCCCAATGTAAGGAGCATTCATCTCACTGACCCCCAATGTAAGGATCATTCTTCTCACTGACCACTAATGTAAGGAGCATTCTTCTCACTGATCACCAATGTAAGGAGCATTCATCTCACTGACCCCCAATATAAGGGACATTCATCTCACTGACCACCAATGTAAGGAGCATTCTTCCCTCTGACCACCAATGTAAGGAGCATTCTTCCCTCTGACCACCAATGTAAGGAGCATTCTTCCCTCTGACCACCAATGTAAGGAGCATTCTTCCCTCTGACCACCAATGTAAGGAGCATTCTTCCCTCTGACCACCAATGTAAGGAGCATTCTTCCCACTGACCCCCAATGTAAGGAACATTCTTCCCACTGACCCCCAATGTAAGGAACATTCTTCCCTCTGACCACCAATGTAAGGAACATTCTTCCCACTGACCACCAATGTAAGGAACATTCTTCTCACTGACCCCCAATGTAAGGAGCATTCTTCCCACTGACCCCCAATGTAAGGAACATTCTTCCCAATGATACCCAATGAATTTAATTTAGCATGGGGTGGCCCAAGAACTGAAAATCATTTCTAGGGCTCCTCCCAGGTTAAAAGGTTGAGAAATGTTGGGTATCAGGATGAGCTAGCCTGTGCTAAAGAGAAAAAGAGAATTATACACAACATAGCATCTCCGTGGAGTCTCCATGGCAACTCAGACCTAACAGCATGCATTCATGTCAGAAAGAAGCTCGCTGTGAGTAAAATAAGCCCAAATAATAAGACCGTGGTTACATGCCACGCCGGGCGGCAGCCTTCAAGGTTACCGTGCGATTGTAACACGAATACGTTTCTCTGCTGTTAGTTTATATAAACAGCCGTGCATCGTGAGGATCGGAGAGAACTGTCTCACCAAGAGCCACAACTCGCACAATTGGTTTGACAGTTGTTAGATACGAGGAAATAGACGGACCCTGCACAGCTTGTCGAGCAATTTGTGTCTCTTTCCTTCTCTTTGGCAAAAATGTACAAAAAAAAAAATAAAAAAATTGGTGCTTTCTACAAATCACAAATAGGTTTCCAACGTACAATAAAGAAAGAACTGATCTTCAACATTTTTGGTGACCTCAGAGCGATCTAAACATCCCATTCCCTTAAAGAGAGTTGCCGGACCGTTCATTTTCAACAAAAATATAATATTTTTTGTGTGTTTAATACAATTTATGTTACTTACCTATATAAGAGGTACTGCTGCTGGGTGCCGCCATCTTGGATACGATGTCAGCAACCCCAGCGGACTAGAGTGACACTCTATGGTATTCCCCTTTACTCCTTCCACCGGCAGCTACACAAAAGGTTATATACCATGTTTCCCCGAAAATAAGACACTATCTTGGCTCAAAAAAACACACTAGGTCTTATTTTCGGGGTAGGTCTTATTTTCGGGGTAGGTCTTATTTTCGGGGTAGGTCTTATTTTTGGGGTAGGTCTTATTTTTTTTTTATGTACAACAGTCCAAAGTTAACACAAATCCAAATGAAATAATCCGAAATGGCAAAGTTAAAAATAGGGTGATCAGGGCAATCAGGGTGCCGTACCTTTCCAAGAGCAATTTGCTGACCAATCGCTGGCCAGAATGGGCGAAGCGCGCTTTCACTATGGATTCCTCACAGGCGGAGCGCATTTGGTATCACTCCGCCTGTGACAGGAGGCGGCGCTATAGAGGAGGCATCGGCTTATGCGGCTCTGCTCCCTCCGGTGCCGCCTCGCTTCCTCTAGCGCCGGCTTCGTTGGCACCGCTGATTCTCTCCCGCGGCTCTTCAAATTCCCCCTTATGCCACCGCCGGCCCTGGGAATGGTCACAACTAGGTCTTATTTTAGGGGTAGGTCTTATATTTGAGCAATTCCCAAAAATAGTACTAAGTCTTATTTTCAGGGTAGGTCTTATTTTTGGGGAAACAGGGTAGGAAGGTGAGGGGAGTGGTGGAGGAGCTTGACCAGCACGGTGTGTTAGGAGACATTCCCAGAAGAGGAGAGGGCTATGACATGCAAGGACGGGGGGCTGCTTTAGGGAAATACCTCTTGCTGGGGTGGTCAAGTATTCTAGCACGTAAAGGACTATTCATAAGTCTTAACTTGTATGTTACACGTTAAAGTAGCATTAAGGTCCGGGCGTTTTTTACCTTAATGCATTTTCTGCATTAGGGTAAAAAACGGCCCAGCACCTTTTTTCTACCCCAGTCCCCCCCACACTTACCTGTCAGCTGCGCTCGTCCCCGCCGCCGGTCCGAATCGATCCGTTCCCCAAACTTCCGGGTTTGCGGGGGGAGGATACTGATGGCAGAGGAGCCATGGGCTCCTTCTGCCATCAATCAAAGAGGGAAGGGGCGTGGTCTGCCACAGGGCTGTGTGTGTCTATGGACGCACACAGCCACTGCGGAAACAAGCGGGCACGAGCACCTCCACTAGAACGATGGAGGCACCCATGCAGGGGGTGGGGGGAAAAGCGCTGCGGGAAGCCACTAGAAAATGAGGAATTAGAAACTTTTAAAGAAAAAGAGCAACAGCCTCCAGCAAAGGAGGGTCTCCTTAAAGGAGAAAAAAAATAGACTTTAATATCACTTTAAGCCGCTTAGTTTAGGTGAAGGCTGCTTTATACACACCATGTAAATCAGGGCTACATACTTTGCCAAACACAGAGGGGCAACTGTCCATAGAAGTCTAGTTTACTACCCCTAGATGGTTAAAGAAGACAATACAGTAGAATATATAGAATAGGAAGGATAGACAGACCATGGGCATTCATATGGAGTTGGCCCCCTTTAACAGCCTCCACTCTTCTGGGAAGACTTTGCACAAGCGGGTGTCTGTGGGAATTTGTTCCCATTCAGCCAAAAGACCATTTGTGAGGTCAGATACTGATGTTAGACGAGAAGACCTGGTTTGGCTATATGGGCTCGTTAGACATCCCATTTTATAACCATGGGCATTAACAGAGAAGATCCACCCTCCCTTTACACATTATCAGCCTCCACTTTTTTGAGGAGGCTTTCCACACAATTATGGAGTATCCCTGGGGTAATACTGATACTGATGTTAGACAAGACGACCTGGTTTGCAGTTGGCATTCCATTTAATCCCAAAGGTACTTACATTTACCTGGAATGAAGAGGGATGGCGGCAGGTATGGGGAACATCTTCGACTCAAGCACCAGAGATTCCTCGTTAGGTGGGAGAGAGTCCTGAGCCATATGCATGTTTTAAGCAAATGGGAGGTTGCTCTTGTAGGCAAATGGAGCAACAGGAGGGGCAAAGAGAAGGAACGTTTCAGCAGCATGTGATGAGGCATTGGCAATGCATAGATTTATGTTGCGGCACATTCTACGGTTCCCCAACCTTTCTACAGTTTCCAACTTTTGGGGGAAAACCCATTTCTGGTCAAGGATGACTGCGCCACTAAGACAACTTCATAAGGACGTGGTTTGAGGCAATTGGTGTTGAGGAACTCAAGTGTCCTGTGCAGAGCTCTGACCTCAGCCCTACCGAACACCTTCGAGATTAAATGGAATGCCAATGGCAAACCAGGTCGTCTTTTCTAACATCAGTATTACCCCGGGGACACTCCATAATCTTGTGGAAAGCCTCCTCAAAAGAGTGGAGGCTGATATTGTGAAAAGGGAGGGTGGGCCTACTCTTTTAATGTCCATGGTTTTAAAATGGGATGTCTAACAAGCCCATATAACCAGGGCCGGATTTACTCTCTCTGCTGCCCCCAGGCCAGGTTCCTCAATGCGCCCCCCTACCTGCTCCCCCATGTAGAATGGCAGACCTGCAGGCTGCATACAAAAGATCTCGGCCACATCGCCAGAATCACTTGCACAAAACAAGCGGCGGCTTCCCCGCTGTACAGCCCAAAGCAGGGCTAAATGTACAAAAAACAACTACCCGCTCGGCACCCGGAACTGCATGTCCCGGGCATCAGGAGATAGGAATTCCACACCCCTGCTGCCCCTCTACTCCCTGCTGCCCCAAGGCCGGGCCTTGGTTGGCCTTGTGGGAAATCCAGCCCTGCATATAGCCAAACCAGGTCTTCTCGGCTAGCATCAGTATCTGACCTCACAAATGGTCTTTTGGATGAATGGGAACACATTCCCACAGACACCCTCTTGTGGAAAGTATCCTTTAAAAGAGTGAAGGCTGATATTTGTCCAAAGAAGGGGGGGGGGTCAACTCTATTAATGCCCATGGTTTTAAAATGAGATGTCTAACATGCCCATATAGCTGTTATAGTCACTTCTGCACAAACGTTTGGCCATATAGTGTATATGGAGATAGAAATGATGCAATGTGCTTACTTACAAATCGGAAACAGCTCCTAACGCTGGGTTCAACATTGCTTCCCCCAAATGCCGCAACTTCTCCCAGCTGCCTCGGTATCTGGATGGCTTCATGCAGAAGAAGGCTTAGTTGCTTCTGGTCACACGTCTCATCGGGCTTTGCTACCTGCGAAAATAAATCTGAAAGAAAATTGCTCGTTCAAATGTCGTCTGATTCTGGAAAATGAACACAGCAGCTCTCGGAAGATGAAAGGAGCCAACACATACGAGCGGGTTCTAAAACTGAACGGTTGCCGGTATGCAGGTCTGTTATATATAATATGGGGAAAAACACAGACAGAAACACTACGGGGTCATTCACTACAGAGCTGAAGGATCCAGCCGTAGCTTCGGCTGATCCTTCGGCCGCCTGAGCCCTTCGGTTCAGTTCCAGCATACAGCTGTTTTGGGCTCCTTGGCCCTCATCAATGCAAGCTATGGCTCTATGGTGTAGGACTTTAAAGGAGAACTATGAGGCGAGTGAAAATCATCAGCCTCATAGTTCTAGCCGACCTGTGACAATGAAGCTGTCACAGGTCGGCTCAATAGATGAGGAACACATACCTTAGCTCGCTCACTTCTCGATCTAACCCTGCAGAGAGCCGTGACTGTCACTCACGGCTCCCTGCAGGGATTCCTCCCCGCTCCGATCCTCCAGCGCTGACTGTCGGAGCGGACGGGTACAGCTGGCTCTGCCTCTAGATAGGCAGAGCCAGCTGTCAATCACGCAGCTGGTTGGATCCGGACAGTATTGATCCGTCCCGGCTGCAGCGTCTCAGTATACAGGGAGCCGTAGCTCACGCTATACTGAGCTTTGGGTGACGGGAGGACGATTGGTTGTGTCCTCCCGTTACCCTTAGGAGAACTATGGGGAAAAACACTGACCCCATAGTTCTCCTTTAAGTTATAATAAGTAAAACAATTAAAATTTGCATAGAGTTTAATTTTGTAATATGGACCTTGAGCCTTTTT